GCAGTCCCTTCTCCATTCTCCTCTCAGGGTTGTGGGCACTCACGCACACTTGCCTCGTGTGAGTTTCAAAGCACCTGGTCTGGGACTCAAACTGCAGTTGGGCATTGTGGGAATCCAGTGTCCTAACCTCTACACCACCTGCTGGCCCCGAGATGCTCCACTTCTGACTGGCAAGTGGGACAAGCAGGTGTGCCTCTCTGCCCCGTTTTCCCTGTCTCTGGTGGAGGTCACCCAGTCCTTCCCTGCCTGTTCCCCACCGCTGTCCCAGCAGAGCTGGAGAGGCTGTGGTTGGACAGAGGAGTCGGAGCACAAAGCGCTTTGTTGAACCAAAGGCTACGTTATTTACCCTGTCACCTGGCTGAGCCGTGGCACACCTAGATTTTTTCTTCTTTTTACTTTTTTTTTTTTTTTGAGAGGTTTTCGCTATAGGGCGCGTGCGCTCGCCAGACAGACAGAAAGCGAGAAATCACCCCCCCTGCATCTTGGGCACGCACGCACACACGCCCAGCGTGAGTTCTAAGCCACCGGGTCCGGGACGCGAACCGCAGTCGACTACGTGGGAATCCAGTGACATAGCCAGTACGCTAACTGCTGGTTCCCTTCTTTTTACTTTTTTTAAGTTTGCTATAGGGCGTGTGAGCTTGCCAGAGAGATGGACTGGGCATGGTGGTAAGAAAGCACCCCTCGAGGTGACAGCCACAGCGCAGTCCCTTCTCCTCTCAGGACTGTGGGCGTGTACGTACGTGCACCTGCAGTGTTTTCAAGCTGCTCGACCTGCACTTGATCTGCACCATCAGCCACGTGGGACCCAGCCACTTAAGCACCTAGGCATCTGCTGGTCCCGGTCCCTTAGTTAAGTTTTAAAAGCATCATTTGGGGGGCCAGCAGATGGCAGAGCGGTTATATTCCTGGACTCCCACATGGCCGACAGTAGTTCACGTCCCAGACCCCATGGCTTGAAAATCATGCCAGGCATGTGTGCATGTGTGCCTAAGGCGCATGTGCGTGCGTGCCCAAGATCGCCAGAGGAGAATGGAGGAGAAGGGATTGCAGCATGGCCATCCCCCCTGGGGGGTGATTTCTTGCTTTCTGTCTCTCTGTCTGGCGAGCGCACGCGCCCTATAGCAAAAACAAACAAACAAACAAACAAACAAAAACATGTGCCTATGGGACCAGCGGGGACATAACGGCCATGTTGCTGGACTCCCACTGGGCATGTGTGCACACATGCGTGCCCAAAATCCCGAGAGGAGAATGGAGGAGAGGAGATTGTGGCGTGGCCATTTCCCCTGGGGGGTGACTTCTCACTTTCTCTCTTTGTCTCTGTCTCTCTCCAGTAAGAACATGCACCCTGTGGCCAAAAAAAAGGGCATCATTTGGCAAGTTGTCTCTTAGTGGATTCCATTTCTTAACAGCTATATTAGCATGAACTAGTGTAAGATGGCATTTGGAAACACAGGAAGTGAAGATACACATATGATAGTATTCTGCATTTTTACTACCAAAAAAGGTTACCATTTTGAGGAACCAGCAGTTAGCGTAATGGCTATGTTGCTGGACTCCCACGTTGTCGACTGCGGTTCGCGTCCCCGACCCGGTGGCTTAAAACTCACGCTGGGTGCGTGTGCGTGCGTGCCCAAGATCCTGAGAGGAGAGTGAAGGAGAAGGGATTATGGTGTGGCCATCCCCCCTGGGGGGTGATTTCTCGCTTTCTGTCTCTATGTCTCTCTCTTTCTGGCGAGCGCATGCGCCCTATAGCGAAAAAAAAAACTCTCAAAAAAAAAAAGGTTCTTCACAAGCTAAAGAAATGTTTTCTTAATTGCCAGAGTGTATATGCACTCATCAGAGAAAAACGGGGGGCCAGCACCCCTAGGTGGGTCATAATCTCACCATAACTTATCTCTTTCTGCACCCTGCCAAGACTTCGGGCACCCACACACGTGCCCTGTGTGTTCCTTAAGTTCCGTGGGCAGTATTCAAACTGCATTCGGCCCCGTGGGATCACGCTCCAGGTTCCCCTAACCATTAGACTATGGGGCCACCCAAGGGTTTTTTGAATAATTGCTCTTCTGATGTGTAAATTACAGACTGTACGTTACACAAGTTTAAAATAAGTCTGTCACCATTGTCATAACCAGTTTTCCTCAGCCCCAGAGAAAGTGCCAGTAGTAGTCACTGACATCTCCCCCCAGCCCAGGGCAGCCCCCGGTCTCTCTGCAGGCCCGCCGACTCTGGGCATTCCCTGTAATAGAGTCATGCAGCACGTAGCAGTCAGGCACTCCGTGGGTGATTTTCCACTTCCCGCTAGCGTGTTTTCACGGTTCATCCATGGCGTAGCGTGTATCAGGGCCTTCGTCCCTTTTCTCACTAGACAGCGTCTCGCCATCACTGTGCTATCACTGCCCGCCTGCAGGGACTGTCGGCACACGCACCGCACCTGGCTTTTTCTTAGCTGTCGCCATAGGGCACGTGCGCTCCCCAGGGGGAGACGGAGGAGAAAGTGAGAAATCACCCTCCAGCCTGCCTCCCTTCTCCTCCATTCTCCTCAGGGTTTGGGTGAGCGTGCACACACACCAACATGTTCGTCAACTGCTGGGTCTGGGATTTGAATCGTGTATCATTCATGCGGGACCCAGCCACCGTAGCCACCACGCCACCGGCCGACCTCACAGTGGCTCGTTTTTAGACAGTCTCCCTGCTTTGCCCAGGCCGGCCTGAGCTCAGTCTCCTGCCTCAGCCTCCCCACGTTACTGGGAGCATAGTGCACAGCACTGCACCGCCTCGAGGTTGGGCCAGGAGTCAAGCCCGGCCTTCCACGTGGTCCCGGCCTCGGATCGCGGGGCTCAGCACGGGCACCGCTGTGGCTGGGCCTCCCTGCCTTCTATTGTCAGGTGACTGTCACCAGTGTGTATTTACTAGTGACTTGCCAGTTGATGGATGTTTGGGCTCTTTCCACTTTTAGCTGTAAATAACATTGGTGTGAAGAATTATGCATAAGTTTTTTAAATTTTAATTTACGTAAGAAATCACCTCATCGGGGGATGGCCACACTGCAGTCCCTTCTCCTCCATGATCCTCCCAGGATCTTGGACACACGTACATGCATCTGGTGTGAGTGTCAAGCCACCGGGTGCAGGACTCAAACCGCAGTCAGCCATGTGGAAGTCTAGCGATGGACTCATGCTGGACACCGTGTGCATGCATGCTCCAAATCTCCACCACGTGAGGTGACCTCTCACTTTCCTTCTCTGTCTCTCTCCTGTGAGCACACACGCTCTATGGCAGAGTTAAATAAACAAAACAACAAAAACTTATCCCTCATTTGAAAGATATTTGCAAGTCATATATCTGATACGGGTACCAAAGATATCCAGGAGCAAGACAAAAGCCAGTTTAAAAAAAAGAAAATCCATCTCAGGACTAGCGGCTGGCGTAGTGGTTGTGGCACTAGACTCCCATATGGCCGACTGCGGTTCAAATCCCAGACCCAGCGACTTGAAACTCACGCTGAGCACGTGTGTGTGCGTGCATAAAACCCAGAGAGGGAGATGGAGAAGGGATTGAGTGTGGTCATCCCTCCTGGGGGGTCATTTCTCACTTTCTCTTTCTGTGTCTCTGGCAAGAGCCAGAGGTCCAGGACGCGAACTGTGGTCAGCCATGTGGGAGTCCAGCCCTTCAACCGCCCCGCCACTGGCCGGTCCCCGAGGTTTTCTTTTTAAACCAGCGTTGGCAGGCGTTGACAGCCCTTCCTTTCCGACAGGTATCTCAGGTAGTTTGAACTTCGATGAGGAGGAGAGTGACAGTGAGGAAGAAGGAAAGAAACTAGAATCCCATCCGCCGTTTTCAGAAAAGGAGAGACCCAGTTCTGCGTCCAGCCAGAAAGCCGCCACAGTGCGTAGCTCCGATACGGCCCCCTCCGCGGTTAGTGTGGCCTTCCCCGAACAGGGTTAGACGAATTCAGTCCCGTCACTGAGGCTCCTTCAAAGCTCTGCGCTCTCGGTGGCGCATTCTCCACCTGATTTCTGTCATCGCAGGTGATAGCCCCCCGTAGTCCCCCCGTTACCCTGTGTCTGCCTCCTTACTTACCTTTGCAGGGTTGCCCCTGTTGTCAGGATCAAAGCCCGGGTAAGTCGGTAAGCTCTGGTGTGTGAAGGGTCTCGGCCCAGCCTCACGTGCGGCTGTCGTCCCAGGACACAGGGGCGGCGGGCCCCACAGCCCAGCAGGCCGATAGCGCGCTGGGCGAGCTGGGGAGCTTGGAGGACTTCGCATACAGCCCTGCCCCGCGCGGCGTCACCGTCAAGTGCCGCATAACCAGGGATAAAAAGGGGATGGACCGGGGCCTCTTCCCCACCTACTATATGCACCTGGAGAAGGATGAGAACCGGAAGGTATGTGACCATGCCAGGCGGCTCTGCGGCAGGGCGGGTACTGGGGAGCAGCTCGGGAACGGCCTTCTGGGGGCAAAAGCTCTGGCCTCAGGCCGGGCAGCGGGAAGCAGGCTGCAGCGGTGACACCCGGAGCTGTGCTCTGCTTATCGTCAGAGAGCTCGGGGCCTGCCCAGCCCCACTCCCCCAGAAACAGTTGTTCTGTGACGTAAGGGAGCGAAGGGGACACTAACGTGATTATCTGCACCTCCCGGTGTTTACTGTGGCTGTTACTGCGTGCGCTTTGGTTTTGTTGTTATGGTAGGAGACCGAGTTTTAGGGAGTAGCCTTCGAGGCAGTGACAGCTGTGATGGACAGTGCGTTTTGTGCCCACAGGTCTGAGCGGGTGATTTTAACCAGCTGGGTTTTAGAACACGCCAGGCACGCACTGAATGTATAATAGTGTTGTAGTGCCTATAGCGACCTGCTTAGGTAGGGCTTGTGTGGTCACCAGAGGGATGGAGAAGTAGGCGGGGCAGGGTAGAAAGCACCCTCCAGTGGGCGTGGCTGCATCTCCATCCCTCTTCATTTCCTTCCTGTTGGGATTCAGGCATGCACCGACATGTGCTCAGTGTGTCTTTCAGGCCACTGGGTCTGGATTCGAACCACAGTGGGCCATGTAGGATTCAGCTCCCTTAGCCACTAGGCTCCTGAGCTGGCTCTAGGTAGGATTTGTCATCTCTGCTCTATGGATGAGTTAACTGGGGCTTCGGGAGTGACTGACCTGTCCCCAGATGACACTGCTAACTGGCAGGCCAGATTCACACCCACTCTCTGATTCTGCAGCCCCCAACTTGGCACCGGCAGCTGTCCTCGTCCCTGGTGTTGTGCACACTGAGTTAGGAAGAGCATGCACATGTGATGGTGTCCGGGTCATCGTAATCTCCAACACCGGAACACAGGGGAGCGGTACAGGAAGTGGTCACTGCACAGGACGGAGGGCGGCCTGCAGTGGCCTGGTTAAGGCAGCTGGGTCCCTCAGGGCCAGCCACACGGTGTGAGCCCTGGACTGGGCAGCTCGAGAACCGTGCCGGTGTGTGCCCAAACCCAGCAGGGTGGAGAGACTGGGGTGGCCGCGACCCGCAGGCCGGTGCTCTCTCGTGTCCTCTTTCTCTGCTGAGTGTGCGCGTGTGTGCCCAGATCCAGCAGGGTGGAGAGACTGGGGTGGCCGCGACCCGCAGGCCGGTGCTCTCTCGTGTCCTCTTTCTCTGCTGAGTGTGCGCGTGTGTGCCCAGATCCAGCAGGGTGGAGAGACTGGGGTGGCCGCGACCCGCAGGCCGGTGCTCTCTCGTGTCCTCTTTCTCTGCTGAGTGTGCGCGTGTGTGCCCAGATCCAGCAGGGTGGAGAGACTGGGGTGGCCGCGACCCGCAGGCCGGTGCTCTCTCCTGTCCTCC